AGCCCATCGAATATGTTGGTTGAGAAATGAGTAGATTTTCCATAACAATCTGCGTGTATCTTGCGTCGGTCAGGTCAGTGCTACTGTAAGGCACAAAAACAGTACTTTTTTATGAAAGGCCAAGAACGACGGTGGAACTACGTACAGCGGCATTCGCTTCGACGCATAATGCGGGATTTATTATACGACCACCTAACGAATAACCTTATTCTGTTCCTGGCACAGGTGACCCCGGTAGGAGGTTACGTAAAGAAAGTGGTACTTGTTAGACAAACTGGTAAAGCAGAAACAATTTACTCCAGCCCATCGGATTCCGTATGAGACGAGGCATAAATCGACCAGCACGCTACGTGCAACGTGGAAGAGCTAATTATATGCGGATCTGTTTTCACAGAGGAACTGTTCGTTCTAACAGCAACCAGTGACTAACGGACAGTGTTTCAAGGCTGCGAATACAGCGGACACAAAAAACTGGATAAGTTGCGTTTACGTAAATTACTCAAGGCAATCACACAACTAACACCAATACTTTCGCTCCTGCCTTGGAACATAATCGTTAACTCACCGATGTTGATGTATCAGTAAGTGGATATGAAAAAGATTCGGTTAAACGAGATCAACGAATCAGTGCACACCTTAACGAAGAATGCCGAACTCTGTAGTTACTGCAACAGTACTTCATTAATGTGTATTTGTAAAGCACGGAAACTGCACTGTGCGAAAGGTACTGGCAACCCGTCTACTGGACATGAACCATATTTAGAGTACTTGAGTACTGTCTGAGCCTTCGTCCTACGTTGTTGCATAGCTGAAACATTGGCGGTAAACTTATGTTCATAGATCATATTACGCTGGATTTTTACCGAGTATCGCCAAAACCACTGCCTAAAAATCATCAACGACTACACTGTGCTAATTATCATCATATCAGTATTATACAACCTTGCAATTTTCCGGACTGCAATGGAAGGTTCGCGACAATTACAGAACCATGTTTTTACGTAGATGTCATGTTGTACGAAAGCTCATTTGTAACGCATCGACGGTACACTTCAAGGCGCAAAATGGTTAGCAGTGAAGAAAAAAGGCGTTCATTAAGCCAAGTGCTCATTGATGAGTCAGTCACTCATTAGCGTGACTTCTGACCATGCATTTCTGCAATGAGGTTTCAGATTTTGGGATCGTACTTCACAAGTTTCAACGCGGATAACGATCCTGAAGCAAGTGGTGACAGAACGGAACTTCATTCGGAAAAGTTTAAGAATAGTGAGTCAAGTCAACTGCTCTGCAAATCAGTCAGTTCCAATCGCGTGTCTGATTCTATTTCGTCAAGTGAAACCGAAAAGCGATTGCAGAGCAACTGTAAACTTTCAGTGAATTCGCGAATTTAATTTAATTTAAAATTTAAAATTCTACTTAAGCACTTTCTGTATGATGCAAACCTCTGATGCGTAGGCTTCGTCTGCAGATCGTCACCGCTACTATCACCTTCGAAAATGAGCCAAGTACATCTGAAGCGTCTGCAAATGAAACAGCCCAATCTAACGTGATTTGCAAGCTGTGAGGAATGTTTGCTATC